TACAGGTGGATTTCAAACAGTGCATTTGTTTTTGCGTGCGAAACTCTACACACGGATGAACCTGTCAACTATCTTCAGACAAATATTACGTACATGCGAGTACAATCACAAAAGTAATACATATTTCCGACCTTTATACATTTACATCATATTTTCCAATGGTAAGTAAAATAGTTTTTTATTTCTTTCTTCTGTATTTTCAATAGAAAGTGATCGAATGATTTCATTCAACAAATTTTAATAGCTTTTAATCAAAATCAATATGATTGTTTCGTTAAAGATTTATCCACTTTATTAAATTGATACAATCAAGTTCGAGATACACTACATATCATCAGCAAAACATATAAATATGTTATATATTTACAGAAATCTTTTGCATATATAAAGATCATATATAAAGTTTAGAAGAGTGATATGCATATGATAGAAGTATCAAATCATTGCCATGTCTTCTAAAATCTTTCTTTTTTTTCTTATATTACTTCTTTAATTTGTTAAAATAAATATTAAAATTCTTTTATTTATTAAGATTATTTATTAAAGATTTTTAAATATTGTAAATTTTGTAATTTAACATCATGATTTCATCATCTTTTCAAGTGTTAATTATCTTTAATAATTCTTTTTTTGAAAATATTTTTTTTAGTATATATATTCGATTTCATGGACAATTGTACTTCTTTGTAAACAAACTTTTTTTATTATACGATAAATAGTAATTATTATTGATATCAAGTATTATTTTCATTGAAATGAAATTTAATGATAAACTAAAATGTGAAAAAATGTATAAAAATTTATGTAATATGTTATAATTTATATAAATCCCATCATGATCTTTTTATTGAAACCGGAATATGTTCCACGCAGTTCTCAGTACGACATAAGCGCGCCGCGATGAGTCACTCAACTGTCGTTTTTTTCTTTTTCGCCCGGGAATCTCTGCAGCCATTATAGAAATAATATCACAAAGGAATAAGAAAGCAGTTATAATATATATTATATTATAATATAATAATTTTTTGATACAATGTCTATATATATGTGTGTACGTGCGTATGTATATGTATGTGTATACAATTTTGTATACAATATATATAATACGCACATATACAAAATGTATGGTTTTAAATTTATATATTCATATTAGATATAAATATCATAATATAACAGAAATAAAAGAAATAAGAATTTATTGAATTATATCATTAGCATTATATGAAAAATTTAATAAAGTTTATAATGATTTATACTTGTACCTATACATATAATATTTAAAATTTTGACTAATAAATTTTATTAAAATATTTTAAAAATATTTTATTAAAAATTAATTTATTAAAAATATTAAAAATTTATCAATAATAAAAGTCTTTTTAATAAATTTTAATTATTTGTAATATGTGATATTCTTATTGTATAAAAAACGTGTTAATTAATATATATTTTATACGAATATATAATGCTAAAAATAATTTAATACAAAAAATAATATAATTTATAATTTATAATTTAGTTATTAATTAAAAATATGATATTATAATCCCAGAAAAATTACGATAATTTTATTAGAAAAAATATTGATTATTTTGTAAATGAAAAAACTAATCTTATCTTTTAGTATTATGTTTAGTATTGTATTTAATATTTTTTAGTACATAATATAATATAATATAATATAATATAACTATATATATAACTATATATATATAATATTATATATACGATTAGCATTTTTTATGATATTTATGCAATATATATCCAATTCTAGTAAGAGGAAAAATAATAAGAAAATTTCATTATTATATTCTAGAACAATTAATTTTTGACAGTAATGAAGAAAGTATTCTAATAATTAAAAATGAATATATTTA